GAGGGGGATGTGATTCCCCAATAAGGGGGAAGATTTTCCTGACGAGAGCAAAGGGCGTGGTCAAGCATCGCATACAAATATTTCTAAAGTAGTCCAGGGGGGCGAAGGCCCAGAAAATTGGACAAATTTAGGGGTTTCTAAGTCTTACTTAATGGATTTTAGGGCCCAATAATAATATGTACAAAATACATATAATTTTCCTCCCTGACGAATTGTGGTTTTCTCCATGACTTGACAGGGCAGGCCCGTAGGCAGGGGGTGCAGAGGGTGCGGACGCACCCCCAAATTCCAAAAGGTCCACTTTTTAAACCTATGATTTCACAAAATCGTTCCTAATTATTACAAAATGCAGCTATAGCATGCATTGCATTATATATTTGCCAGCTTATCTGACCATTGATTTTTAATATTGTGGTATGAAATTTGTTAGAAATTGATTGTCTCCGGTGATTGCAGATTGATTTATATAATATGAAGAATGTTATCTATAGGCCTGCAGATGTCCAGGACATAATAACATTACTTTTTCAGGTCCCAAAAACACCCAAATTAATGAAAATTTAAATGAAATATTCATGAATGTGTTTGAGAAATCTATTATGTAAGACCCTCAAAATGCTACTTTGTCGATTTTCTCACAAACCCCCTCCAGGCCTCTGCCCCTGGACCACCAAATTTCACAAAGTCCACTTTTTAAAACCTATTATTTCACTAAAATTGTTCCTAATTATTGTGAAATGCTATAGTATGCATTACATTTTTTTGCCAACTCTTCTACCCATTGATTTTTAATAATGCGCTACGAAATCTGTTGGAAATTATCAGCTACAGTGATTGTAGGCCTACAGATGTAAAGGACATGAAAATTTTTTAATTTCACAGTGGTGGATTCAAGGGGGGGAAGCCCCCTAAAATTATAAAAGAAATGGAGAAAAATGAAAAATCATAATCAAGTTCCGGCCACTTTGAGGTGCCATAATCATAAATTTTCTTACCTCAGCCCCAACCATGGTGGGGCTGAGGTGGTATTAACCATCTGTCTATGCAGGTTTCTCCCTTAACCCTACCCTCTATATCTCCTGCTTTACTGTAGGTCCCCAAGCAATACTCAAATGAATGAAAATTTAAATAGGATATTACAAATTATGGATTTTAGAAATCCATTAAAAAAGGCCCTCAAAATGCTAATTTCTCAGAGCTTCCAGAAGATTCGCCCCACCCTCGCGTGGATCCCTAGGTAGTCGCCCATCGGAGGGTCCACTTCGGTTGCTAGACGCACCTCCCCATTATACTTGACATGGGTGTTTGAATGAATGGTTGCGTGACTGAATAGCAGCAACAAAAAAGCAGAAAATAAAGGGATAGGCCCTACAATAATGTATAACAAACATAATTAATACCTGGTTTATTTTCTGCTTTGAACAACCAACTTCCATTGATTTCAGTGAAAAAGAAAAACCTATCATCATTTGGTTCCAGTTTAATTAACTTATCATCCAAGTCAGCAATTTGATCCTGAAATTATTAAATTAGTGAAAATATTAGTTATTAACATTAAATTACATTACTTCTATCAAGCAATGGGATTTGTTTATGTGTATGTACATTTAAAAAAAATAATAATATTTCCATTTTTCATGGCACCGGTAGGTGCTCAAACTGGTCAAAAATAAAATTTTGCTTTAATTCTGAATCACCATTATTGGCGGTCAGAGGTATCAAACAATTTTCGTCTTAAATAGAAATGTATTTTTTTTTCAGAGAATTGATTAAATGAGAAAAGACAAGTAATGTCAAATAGGAAGAAAATTGTTTGTTACTTTACCGTAAACTGTATATTATATTCGTCATTTTGATTGGATGTGATACAGAGTCCCGTCCTCTTATGCACTATTGCACATACTTGTTTGCTTTGGTGATTGAGAAAAAAGTTGACAATAAACACCCCTAGCAAAATATTAAATAAAAATACTATTATTATAAAAATGATGATGTGTGAAAACTAAATTTATGATGTTAATAATAACAATGTTTGAATGATAATTAATAATATAAAAATTGTTTTTTAACATCAACTACAGGTAGTTAGATAAAAATTTGTATTGAATACAAGTTAATGATTTATAATGAAAAAATTAATAATAATAATTATTATTATTATTATTATTTAATAAAATCAAATTAATAATAATTTATAACAATTTATGAGCCTTAGCTAAACAACTGTAAATGAAAATCAGAATAAAAAGTGACTTCAAACAACACTTAAAATTTTACACATGTTTTTAAATACAAATGATGTAGACATAAATAGTTCTTAATTATGCAGTAATGGCTATTGTTACACCAGTATATATTGATTGTGGATCTCTGTGCATTTCACTTTTGTCCTTGTCCTTGAGCAAGCTTCTCTCCACCCATGAGTTTAAATGGGTATCTGGTGGGGTTGCCCCTGCACTGATTACAGGCAGCAACACTTAGCATGTGGACGCAATGACCAGGGAAAAGAATGGCGCTTTATAACTGCAAGGAAGAGATGCATTATAAATGCCTATACCAGTACCAGTATCCGATTTAAGACTGGTGTAGCAATAGCTTAAGTATAGTATGAACTGTAACTAACCATTTTGTCCTTCTACTCTTTTTTCGGCAGACAATTTACTGTTATTCACCTGCAAATACTCTGCTTTAGGTCCTGGCCGATAGATCATCAAATTAGACGTGGTTCCTTTCAATAGATGAGAGACCGACATATTTCCTTGCTGTTATTATTGAAAAAACATATTTACAAATATATTATTATGCAAGTCTAATCAATAATAATGATTTAATATATAAATTGAATTTATAATGTTATTGTTAAGGCAAGAAAAGATTTCTCACCAGTTTTGGGAGGTATATTATTAACAGTGACGGATTAAGTGAGGAGGGGGTGGGGTGGGGTGACGGCTGGCTCACACTGCCACCAAAATAAATTTTTCCCGAATTTCAATTATGAGAAAAGAGGGGAAAAAAGAAAATCATATTCAAATATAAGCCTGAGAGTCACATTTCCAGCCATCTAGAGGTGCCATAATCATAAACTTTCCTTGCCTCGCAACCACAACCCATGGTGGTGAAGATCCTCCATCTGTGAAAGTCCCTTCCTCCTGCGCTCATTTCATTTCAAATTACTGGATCCGCCTGCACTGATTATTAAATATTTAGACAGGTGCAATTCATGGACCTCGGGTATATAGCTGAGTGAGGTCGAATGTTCTCCAACGGTTAGGGTGCATACCCTCAGTCCATGGAACGCACCTGATCCATTATTTAGTTAGATACCTCCATCGTTAGATATTATTATTATTAGTAGTTTTTACCACTCTCTGTGGTCCCGGCCTACTGTATAATTTGGAGGTTCGCCCTTCTGCCTGCAACAACAGAATGGATGGTGGTAGTGTTTGGTATAAACTATGATGTCCGAACTGTTTTACTTACGTTATTGTTTGCTTAGTCAACACCAATGCAATATACTTAGGCCTATAATGGAGGATTACCAGGCCGTTGCCTAAATTTGAATGTCTGGCATAATCAAGGAACTTTATATATAGGTATATATATAACCACAACACGGTACTACGCCCACCACTGGGATTTCTTCGCCCATTCATTTTTATGATTGGATCATAGTTATTTTTAGATTTAGAACAACGCCCTCAAGCATTACTTACATTACTATAGAACAGGAATAAGTAAAAATAAAAGATATTAATTATATACATACATGAGCTTATTACTAGTGATTAGATAATATTTTTAACATAGACATAGGTTAATTTTCTTTGAGCTAGGGGAGTAAAATGATGACCATTTTGAGCAGGATATTTGATGTTGTGTGTGTTTTATCTTCTAGGTTCTTTTGAGAGACTCGACTGACAACACGTTTACGCAAACGCAAAGAGGCTTTTTCTCATGCCTTTATATATATATCTGTCTCTTATACACATCTAGATGTGTATAAGAGACAGCAATAAACACCCCTAGCAAAATATTAAAACAATGTATGGGATAAAATGGAGCTTTACACACTTCAAAAGACTGTCACAGAAATAATTTGCGCTGTATTATGCGCTTACAAAGATGAAAATTAGCATAATGTATTTAATGTTGATAACTAAATTATTTTATCTGGTACCAATCTAAGCTCTTCTTTCCTTAGATGTTAGATGTGCTTGCAAAGAGAGCCATATTTCACACTGAAGGGTGTGTACGACATCAGTAATGTTATGTCAATTCCAAGAATGTTTAAGGTTATATCGGTTGNNNNTGTTTAAGGTTATATCGGTTGATGAGGAATTTATTGATTAGGCCTATAATAGCAAATTGCATCAATTTATTTTGCAAAAACAAGGTTTCCAGCTTCAGAGGGGGCACATCTCCTGTCCGCACAAGGGCACATATTGGCGCTAACACCAGGCGCGTAACAGGTATTTATTTTTTTATTTTTCATTTTTTATTTTTATTTTTAAAGAGGGTAACCCTTCTAGATTAGCCCAGTAGGTTAACTGATATTCAGAACCCTCTTTAATAAAAAGAACAGTGCAAACAACATCATTACAACATAATAATAATAATAATAATAATAATAATAATAATAATAATAATAATAATAATAATAATAACAATAATAATAATAATAACATACAATCCACATTTCCTGGTTAGTAATTTACCATACCCACCCCACTCCACTCCCCATATAGAAAACAATACGACATAGGGCTTATCTTATTTATAATATAGGCCACACATGTGTGTTTGAAACTAAATATAAGCATTTTCGTCATGGTTTTATTTATCATAAACATATTCTTTCACCATCTATACACATTGAGGCCCGGCCTTCTTTTAGGTTAAAATGATCTATCTTAAATTTGTCCTTCTTGAGTTTGGGACTATTATGTATTTAAATAACTTAATAGGATAAAACTAAAAAAGCTCTAAAAAATGCGTGCCAAGCGCGCAAAATATTTTTCTGTTTTTAATTCTAATTTCGTCGGAATTGATGAAAACTCCCTAAAATGTGCAATTTATAGAGGAAATTGGCTTACCGTAACAAGAAATGCGCGCAAAGAATTTGAGAATTTTAGGCACTTTCAGAGGATGCATTTGTCAAGGGGTCTAGAAAGATTTTCCAAAGATGGATATTTTCCCCTTGTCCCCCGGTGTTTTTAATGTTAATTTCTTTGGAATTGATCAAAACTCCCTAAAATGTGCAATTTTTAGAGGAAATTGGGCCATGTTAACAAGAAATGCGCGCGAAATTTGAGGTTTTTAGGTCAGGGGACGAAAGGGCATTTATAAAGGGGTGGGGAAGATTTTTCAAAGATAGATATTTTCACTTTGTTCCCGAGTGGTTACGCCATCGGGCATCATAGATCAAAGGAGTTATGACAGTTTTTGAAGTGGAGAAGGAGTTGCAGGGTGTTGTGAGTCTGGTCATTATGATATCTTCCTTTTTATTATTGTCTTTATTTTTCTCTACTCTTTTTCTTTCCTTTTCTTTTCCTCTTCTTTCTCTTTCCCTCAACCTCCCCTCTTTCTTTTCTCTTATTACCCAGCCCGGTACGACGGCTTGGTCAGCCCGGTAAAAACCGTCAGGGGAGGGGCAGTTTCCCCTTGCCCCCTGCCCCCGCGCCTGTTACGACGCCAATCATCCCCCCCCCCCCCAAATGAAAAATATTTTTCTACGCCACTGGTTGAACAGGTCCAAATGACCGTCGCGTCGGGAACATTATATTACACAATGCTACGCCTCAAGAGGGCGTACGGCCAGATAAATCTGGCAATACGGCTAGAAATACTGTCGTATATTACATATATATGATATTGAAGGGAGTAAGCCGTAAACACTGTTAAATAAATATAATATAAATCATCAAAGGTACATATACAGTGTTTAAATAAGGACATGATGGAACATCGTAGGCTACCCTGTACTGCCCCCCCCCCCCCAAACATGGCAAAAGGGCATAACTGACATTTTTTGGCGAAAATGAGTTATATAGCCTAGTGGGGTCAGTACATCATGTTACACATGTTGACACAAAAAAAATTGTAAAAAAGTGTCCCCCGGGCTAGATAGGGGCATGGCAAAAGGGCATAAATACACAATTTTCAGTAAATTCCCAAGGCAAAAGGGCATAACTGCAAAGATAGGATGTGATACGCTGAAAGCGTGACGTTCTTTCAACAGCCAACCAATCAGAAGAGAGCTTTCTCCCTGGTTACAATGAAGGTTGCCTGTTAAGTTGTATTATTTTTATTATTCTTACTGTTTGTGTACTCACAATTTGTAAATAGAAATTGGTTAAATATTATGATTCTTGACAGTAGCATATGTCTAGTTAATGTTAGGCAAACATGATAAGCCTAGTTAATTTATGCTATATAATCTTGCCTTACTTTGAATGACAACAGTTTAATACTATGGAAATAAACTATAGGAAAATAGTAACTGTTTAATAAAAATAATTAACCATGGCAGAATAACAATTCACATTTTAACTAGAAATAACAGTGACAAAGAGGGGCAACTAAAACGATTATTTAGCAAATAACTATGGCAAAGAGGCACAACTACAACATTTATTTATAGCAAATGGCATGACAAAAAGGTATAAATGCACAGTTTACTCGAATCAAGTGTGTTTACAAAGCAAACAACAACTTACTTTTCCATCTCAATTTATATATATAATACATTTTCTAAATATTTTATTAGAATATAAAAAAACAATAATATTCGTAATCATTTCATTATTACTTGAATTTGGGTCATAGAGAAGAATTGATAATAATAATAATAATAATAATAATAATAATAATAATAATAATAATAATAATAATAATAATAATAATAATAATAATAATAATAATAGGCCTAATTTATATTGTAAGTACATGACTTAAAATATAAATTTATTATTTTACTTTGTAAATAAAATCAAAGATACTAGAAATACAAGATAGAGTTCTCGCATTGTAAAAATGAGGCGGAAGTCGTGCCCAACGTAGGCGGCGCCCTTCTTTTTAACCATGGAAGTTTCCTATACTTCGTGCCCAACGTACAGGGCGCCCTTCTGTTGCTAAGTAAGAATTGATAATAAAATACGCGACGACTTGGTAACGAAAGTTTGGCACAAATTTTTTTAGATCCAGCTGTAGGGGCGTCCCATTTTTCGTATTCCCACCATGCATTTCGGTGAAACACTGTGGAACACTTTTTTTGTGTGGAGAACTCTATCTTGTATTTCTAGTATCTTTGATAAAATTTAAAAAATAATTGTAATTCTTGTTTAACGTACACATAGAAACACGCGCATTCTAACTAAACAGCAGTTCTATTTTATATACGCATACGCATGCATCCTTCACGCAGTGACGTAACGCCTATGCGCTCTTGTACGGGGCCCCAGCCCTAGGTGTATAAGGCCCCCCTACCCACAGGGTCCTCGATCTAGCACATTGAGCCAAAAAGGCTTTGTTGATACATAATAGCATACTAATGTTAATTCATTTTCTTGTTTGCATACTTGGTTAGCCTATACATGGGTTTTTAATCGTTTGTAATTTTAGTATTTATTATTTAATGCGTTTCTTTTTTATTATTGTACATTTATTTTATAGTTTATACATGGCTAACATATGAAATTATATATTGAATGTTATTTTTGAATAATCTGACTCAAAATTGCGTTGAAAGGAACTAAACTGAGTACTTATATCCTTTTGCCAAAGTTTGTCAATATGTCTTGAATCAGAAAACCCACGGCAAAAGGGCATAACTGACATTTTGAGCGCAAACATCAATATTTATAGAAAAAATGTGTGCTACACTGGAAGAGACATTATTTGTCTATTTGAATACATTAACCATGAAATCAAATACTAAAACACATTTTAGGGTTAAATAAATTACACGTTTTGCTTAATATCTCCAAAACAGCAAATTGTCAGTTATGCCCTTTTGCCATGGGAGGGTAGTGTAGCTTTTCAACGAATAAAGTCCTATAAAAGTCATTGTGTAATAAAATGCCTCCGACGGGATTCGAACCTGCGACCTCTCTCTGGCAAAGCGAGCGTCATAACTACTAGACCACAAAGGCTTCATGGTTGAACAGGTCCAAATAACCGTCGGGAACATTGTATTACACAATGCTACGCCTCAAGAGGGCGTACGGCCAGATAAATCTGGCAATACGGCTAGAAATACTGTCGTATATTATATATGATATTAAAGGAAGTAAATATAAATAAATCAAATAAAATAAAAATAAATAAATAAATAAATGATATTTATTCAGGACATGATGGGGAAGATGCTCAACACACAGAAGGGGTAGCAATTATGCTTTCAAGGCAAGCAGCTCATGCACTTACAGGATGGAAACCAGTTAGCTCAAGGATCATGGTAGCTACATTCAGAACTTGTAGAATTTCGCTCAAAATCAGTATGTGTTATGCACCCACAAATGAAGCAGATGTAGATGCAAAGGATGATTATTATGGACTGCTGCAAAACATAATACAGGATAGGTCAGAGAGGGAACTAGTCATTCTGATGGGAGATATGAACGCTAAGGTGGGACAAGATAAAACTCAGGATACT